ATCGAGTTAGGAGTCCCGACCGTTTTCGGGAGTTCCAACAGTGGGAGTTCCCGCCAACGTCGGGAGTTCCGACGGTCGGAACCTCCGACGGTCGCCGCGGGACTTTGACGACATGGTGATCATCCCCATTCATGGGGCTTCAAATCGTGACACACATTCATACAAGGAAGATAGAGGAGTAGAGAGGGAGAAAGAATAGAGGCAAATCGCAAGGTACATTGCATTAGGGTTAGGGAGCCATGGTAGTACCTTGAATCGAGGAAAGAGGACGGAGAAAGATGAAATACGTAGTCCACGAACGAATCAACGAGCACTAGCACCACCACAAACGAAATCCCCACCACCGATCCGAGGAAGAAGATCGAAGCACGGGCGATGGAAGGGGGTGAAGAGCGGAATCTTGCAGCGGGACTCAGCAGTACAACCAGAAGGGATGGGACCGGAACTCTCGGTGGCCCAGAGCAGGCCGGAGCCACGGGCAGGTGGGTAGGGTGCGATGCGGCGGTGCGAGGAGAAGCGAGGGTGGCACGAGGGCGATGCGAGGAGAGGGATGGCGACGGGAGTGCGGGGATGGAGAGAATAACCGTAGTAAAATAGGACCGAGCCGGGTATAAATGACGTGGTCAAACGATGCGGCGCGGTCAAAACCCAGATCTGCGTCGGGACTCTCGGCGCTAGGGCCGGAACTTCCGACAGTCAGGAGTCCCGGCACGAGCCGTGACTTCAGGTCGTCGGGAGTTCCGACCTACGTCGGGACTTTCGACGCATGGAAATTAAAAAACACCTCAACTTGAACTCACTATACCATGTGGAGCAAAAATATGATGGACACTAACATTTTCACAAGTGACTAGATTTCATTCAATCAACACAAAGCAATAGTGACTCATGAATCATAAAATAGATTTTGAAAGTGTCACACAATATTTTCTTAATTCTTTTCTCCTAACTAGATCAAGCAAAGTGTGTGTAAGACATCAAACCACGTTACGAGAATCAATGATATTTAGTTCACTCCTCAAAGCACAAAATCTTGACTCATCTAGGGGCTTTGTGAAGATATTGGCTAGTTATTTTTCGGTGCTCATATGGTGAATGGTGATATCTCCTTTGGCTTCGTAGTCTCTCAAAAAATAATGTCGGATGTCTATGTGCTTTGTTCGAGAGTGGTTTACAAGGTTGTTTGCCAACTTAATAGCACTCTCGTTGTCACACAAAAGTGAAATCTTGGTTAACTAACATCCAAAGTCCTTTAAGGTTTGCTTCATCCAAAGTAGTTGGGCACAACAAGCACTGGCTACCACATACTTGGCTTCGGCGATGGACAAAGCAACGAAATTTTGCTTCTTAGAGCTCCAAGACAACCAGCCAACCAACAACACCCTAGGTGTCGGGACTCCCGATAAGAGTCGGGACTTCCGACTGTCGAAAGTTCCGACGTATGTCGGGACTTCCGACGAGCGCAGACAACCGGTCAGCAGAACCACATGTGTCGGGACTCTCGGCTTGGGTCAGGACTTTCGACTATCGGGAGTTCTGACTCACGTTGGGACTTTCGACGTCCACAGTCACCGCACAGGCTAAGTGATTGGGAGTCAGAACTTCCGGCATGAGTCGTGACTTCCGACGGTCGGGAGTTCTGGCTTACGTCGGGACTTCCGACACCGACAGTCATAGAAAAATATTCTACGTGCTCGTGGAGTGCTAGAGTGTCTCTCTTTTGATTTTATTTTTATTCTTGAGCACTCTATCTTCCTCAGACTAATTAAGTTTGCATCCCTATTTATAATGCGGCGGATCCTAAACTCAAAAACAAAAATAAAACTTTTGGAGAGCATTTTGAGTTCGTCCGACTTTACAACTTCAAGAATTGAGGGATATCATTTCATCTTTATCAATTCTTTGAATCTTTCATGGGACTAATAGATGCGACATATCTCATTAAGGTCATATTAGTCTCTAATTTGGATGTCATCAATACACCAAAACCCACATAGAGGGCAAATGCACTTTCATGTACTCAGGGTTTATTTACCCCTGTTTCAAGTGCAGCTTGAGGAATGGCTGTTGTGTGGAGGATTCTTCTGGTGGGCACAGATGGATCCTTATATCTTATCGTTAGATGTTTATTTTGATTCCATTGTTTAAATTCCGTACTCTGAACTTGGTATTGTAATAATGTATTTCTGAGAAATCTTGTTGTATGAAATAGACTAAGTATTGTAAACTCGTTCTCATTATTGGATACTAGAGAAAAAACGTGGATTGTTCGAGTTCTTCTTGGGAGTGTGCTCGACGGAACCGTTCGATGTAGCTAGCTTTCGGGGTGCTTAATGTCTGGTGGAAGACAAACGCCTCTGAAAGCGTGCTATTTCGGACGGTTCTGCCACAATATAGATCGAACGGTTATTATAGAGGGAGAGCCCCTCTCAGAAAAACTCACTACTATTGTTCGGATAGTTAGGATGGGTGAATGAAAAAATAAGATTAAATTTTGGCTCTTTAATTAATTAGGCAAAAAAATAAAGATAATATATAGATATGAATATAAATCCACATCCTCTTATGACTGGAGGCGCTACAGAATTCTTTTCTCATTTTCCTGTCGACTCCTTCCGTCATCCGCATGCTTGTATGACTAAGGGGATGGCTACGGAATCCATCTTTTTGCCGTGTGCTATCGAGTCCTTGTATTTCCCAGGTCCGTTCTATGCGATGCCTGCACATGTTCAGATTTGTTTGGACTCGGTGAAGCCCATCAGCGACGTATAGACATGGGGGCATGGGGCAAAGTTATTAACGATAGTTAGCTGAGTTGGACGCGGGTGGATTAACAGACGCGGAAAAAAGGACAAAAATAGTGATTTTAATATGTCTACAAGAATTCGTATTTGAGATTGAATAGAAGTCTTATATCTCACATGTAAGATCACGGATGACGGAGGGCTCATATAGCATGATGTGTAGATCGAACGGTTGTTACAAAGAAAGAGTTAGATCACGCGTGACGGAGGGCTCATATAGCACGGCGATAGATCGAACCGGTTATTATAGAGGGAGAACCCGCCAGAAAACTCACTCTTTTATAGTGTGAAAAAAGCAATTATAATTGTTGTTTTTTCTTGTATTTTTAGATCGAATGTTGCTTATAGGTCGTCCGGACGGACGGACCTGTATAAGCCGGCTCGCTTGATCACCTCGCCTGTGCCACCCCCGCCCACGTCGCTTGATCGCTCAGCGCGCTGCGCACCTCTGCTCCAGGACAGACCCCGCCCTCGGCCACGCCGCCCCCGCCCACGTGCCCCCGCCGAGACTCGTGTCTCCCATCGCGGCCGCTCTCCATCCACCTACCCCTGCCCCTGCCAAGGTCCGTGCCACCGATGAGCTCCACACCGGTGACCGGCGCTACTCCACCACGAGATCGAGCTCGCCGACGTCGAGCTCTGCGTCAACGAGCCTCCATTCGTCCAAGCAGCAAGCAGATGCTACGCTAAAAGCGCATGTTGCAAAAGTATATTTCAAGTGTTTTAGATGTTTTAAAGGTATGTTGCAAGTGTTGTATATCGATATTGCAAAAGTAGATCGGGATATTGCACATGTTGTAATGGCTATACACGTATGTTTCAAGTTTAGATTCCAAATGTTTCATATGTTATAGATGAATGTTGCAAGTGTGTCTATCTGGATGTTGTAAAAGTAGATCTAGATATTGCATATACATGCATGTTGCAAGCATATGTTTTAAGTGTTTTCAGGTGTTTCATATGTATGTTTACGAGTGTTTCATCTGGATGTTGCTTATATTTACAATCGTTTTCAAATATTTTTCAGGCGTTTTCGTAAGTGTTTCAGACACTTGTTTTAAGTGTTTTATTTATCTTCTTTTGTATGTTGCATCTGGATGTTTCAAAAGTAGATCAGGTGTTGCACATGGGATGCACGTGGAAAGTGGCCGGCGGTGCGGACGACGTTCAAGGCGGCGTGCGCGATGTCCAGGGCGGCGCGGGCCCACTGTTGGCCCGCTCCCTGGCGAGTCCGATGCGCTATGCGCTCGTTTGCTCTCTTTGCACGTCAGCATCCGAACGCCATCGTCCCGGACGAACATCCGGATGCTAACAAGTCCTTTTTAGAATCTTCATGTCTTCTAGAATAAAGGAAATGGCTTAACTTGATGATATATTATTATATGTATTAGAATTTCTTGAGCGTAAGGCCCAATTTTATAGTTTGCACTAGCCCCTCAAATTAGGTGCATCCCTATTTGTAATGTCTAGAATAGCTTCCAAGAGCTCTACCAAAAGGGCCTTCCTAATTCTTGTGCCCTATATTGTTTAGCCATCACGGCTTTTGACACCAGAGGGTGCCCATTTCAATTGATATAGCAGGTAAAAAGCACGAAATTGATATAGCAGGTAAAAAGCACCGCTAATCTTGAGCTCCGGCGATCACTTGGGTGTTCGCTAGCCCAGACTGGCCCTTGTGTTAATTGACACTAGAGGGTGCCCATTTCAATTGATATAGCAGGTAAAAAACACGAAATTGGTATAGCAGGTAAATAGCACACTGCTAATCTTGAATTGAGGATAGCTTTATGTGTACAACTTCTATTGCTTCTACACATTCATGTAGTACTACACTCCTAGCTCAAGTTCCGATCCAAATCACACAACCGCAACGTGTGATTTGGATCTTAAAAAAAATGACGAACCGATAACATTCGTTGAATGATGGAACCAAGTAGTACCACATTGGGGGTGAGGCCACCTCTTTCTTCTGAGCACTTTACAAAAACATCATTTCATTCATTCATGCATCCATTCCGTTGCAGATGCTTGACAAGCAGCCGCGTTACAAGAACGTCATCAGAACTCAGAAAACAACATCGTCTTCACACGTTCACGACTTATCTACACGCTTATTCAGAAGACACTCGATGATGACAGCGCCAGACCAGAGCCGGGGCGCGTCTCCGCGTCCTCCGGCCGGCAACCTGCACGCTCTCACTCCTCGTCCATGCCGCCCTCGTCCTCCTCCTCCTCCATGATCCTCATCTTCTTGACGGCCTGCGCGGCGTCGCTCCTGACGGCGTCGTTGGGGACCTGGATCAGGATGTCCGACTTGAGCCCCGTCTCCGCGTTCACCAGCCCGCCGCTCCGGTCCACCCTGTATGCCAGCTCGTCCTTGGCCGGCGCGGCGTCGATGTACACGGTGCAGTTCTCGTCGATCTCCTCCTGGATCAGCATCTTCGACAGCTGCGTCACCACCCTCTTCTCGATCCACCTCCTGATCGGCCGCGCACCGTACACCTGTTGAACGTCACGCAACAGAGTCAGCGTCATCAGAGCAATAGTGGTTTTCTGACGAGCGGAATCCAGATGAATCAATCATGGATGCTATGGCAACATACCGGATCGTAAGAGAGAGACAAGATGATGTCCAATGCGGCGTCGGTCACGGCCAGAGCGATGCCCCTCTCGGCAAGGCGGACGGCGACGTCCTTCATCTGAAGGCGAGCCACCTTCCTCAGTTGCTCGTGGGACAGAGGATCGAAGATCACGATCTCATCGAGCCGGTTCAGCAGCTCAGGGCGGAAGTGCCTCCTCACCTGCACACACACCCCACTCGAGTTCAGCATCACATTGCAGAAAGGAAGAGGAACAATGTCGAACACACACACACAATGGATGATTCTGGATGTATCGCGCTGCGTACCTCCTGCATGACCAGATCGCGAGCGACCTTCATGGAGTTCTTGCCCACCATCCCGGCGAGGAGGTGTTCAGCGCCGAGGTTCGATGTCATGATGATCACGGTGTTCCTGAAGTCCACCGTCCTGCCTTGCCCGTCCGTCAGCCTGCCGTCGTCGAGGACCTGGAGCAGGGTGTTGAACACCGCGACATGCGCCTTCTCCACCTCATCGAAGAGGATCACGCTGTACGGCCTCCTCCTCACTTGTTCAGTCAGCTGTCCACCCTCTTCATGGCCGACGTAGCTTCAGTCAAAAAAAAAAACCATTCCATGTCAGAACGCGAGTTCAGCCGATTACTCCAAGCTAAAAGCGCAGTGAAAATACGACAGATGCATCCGTGTTGTGCTACTTACCCAGGTGGTGCTCCGATGAGGCGAGCAACCGAGTGCTGCTCCATGTACTCGGACATGTCGATGCGGACAAGCAGGTTCTCGTCGTCGAAGAGCTGCTCGGCAAGGGCCTTGGCCAGCTCGGTCTTGCCCACACCAGTCGGACCCAGGAAGAGGAAGGAGCCGGTCGGCTGCTGTGGCCTGCCAAGACCGGCTCTCGACCTCAGCACCGCCTCTGCGACGGCGTTCACCGCCTCCGTCTGGCCGACCACCCTCTGGTGAAGCCTGTCAGCCAGGCCCACCAGCCTCTCCTTGTCGTTCTGGCCAAGCCGGGTCACTGGAATACCCGTCCACCGGCTCACCACCTGCCCATAGGAAAAAAAAAACACACCATTTCAGCACGCTGCACGACTTACACTACAAAGAGACGATCGGCAATCCGGCATTGCTCTGGGAATTCCTGTGGTGGTGAACATCAACATACCTCTGCAATTTGTTCAGGGCCGACGGTTTCAGTGAGCATCAGGTTCTCCCCTGTTTCGCTCTCCAGCTTGGCGATCGCGGCGTCGATCTCCTGCAGGGCGCCGTACTTGAGGTCGGCCACGCGGGCCAGGTCCATCCGGCGCTCGGCCTCCTGCAGGGTGAACTGCAGCTCCTCGCGGCGCTGCTTGAGCTTCCTAATCTCATCGATCCTCTCCTTCTCCTTCCTGTACTTCATGGTCAGGGGCTGCAGCTTGTCCCTCAGATCGTCCAATTCCTTCTTGACCTGAACAATGGCCACAGTTAAGCAACGTCAGCATCAAAACAGAACATCAGGCAGAGGATTTGTTAGCCTTACTCTGAAAATTCAGTGATCAAGATACGCACCTCAACCAGCCGGGCTTTGCTGGCCTTGTCCTTCTCCTTCTCGAGCGCGTGGAGCTCAACTTCAAGCTGGATTCTCTTCCTCTCGAGGTTATCAATCTCCTCTGGCTGGCTGTCGAGCTGCACCCTCACATTGGCGCAGGCCTCGTCCACCAAGTCGATGGCTTTATCAGGCAGGTGCCGACCCATGATGTACCTCGCGGAGAGCTGCGCCGCGACGACGAGGGCGCGGTCCTGGATCCTCACACCATGGTGGCCCTCGTACTTCTCCTTGAGCCCCCTCAGAATGCTGATGGTGTCGGGCACGCTCGGCTCCGCGACGAATACCTGCTGGAACCGCCGCTCGAACGCCGCGTCCTTCTCCACGTACTTGCGGTACTCCTCCAGCGTGGTGGCGCCGATGCACCGGAGCTGTCCTCTCGCCAGCATCGGCTTGAACAGGTTGGCAGCGTCCATGGAACCCTCCGTCCTGCCCGCGCCCAGGACGAGGTGTATCTCGTCGATGAAGAGAATGACCTTCCCCTCGGCCTCCTCCACCTCCTTGAGCACGGACTTGAGCCGCTCCTCGAACTCGCCGCGGTACTTGGCGCCCGCGACGAGCGCGCCCATGTCAAGCGCGATGAGGCGGACGTCGAGGAGGTTGCTGGGCACGTCGCCACGGACGATGCGCTGCGCGAGGCCCTCCACGACGGCCGTCTTGCCGACGCCGGGCTCGCCGATGAGGACGGGGTTGTTCTTGGTGCGGCGCGAGAGGATGCGCACCACGCGGCGGATCTCCTCGTCGCGGCCGATGACGGGGTCCAGCTTCCCGGCCTGCTCGACGAGGTCGCGGCCGTACGTCTTGAGCGCCTGGAAGTTGGTGTCCCCGGACGCGGACTCCACTCGGCGCCCCTCTCCGCCGCGGAGCTTCTCGAGCTCGGCGCGCACCCGCGCCGCAGACACGCCGGCCTCCTTGAGGCAGTCGGAGATCTGCGAGTCCTCGAGCAGGCCGAGCAGCAGCTGGTCGACGGCGAGGTGCGAGTCCCCGCGCTTCTTCTGCGCAGACTGCGCGCGGCGGATGGCCTTGATCAGCGCCGTGGACGCCGGGACGGAGTCCGGTGGCGGGGACTGCGACGGAAGCTTCTTGAGCGCGTTGCTCAGCACGCGCTCGAACGAGTCCCCGGCCGCTCCGTCGCCCCCCGACGCCCCCGCGATGGCCTGCCGCAGGATGCCGCTCTTGTCCGCCGCCAGCGCCGCGGCCAGGTGCAGCGGCGTGAGCTGCGCGTGGCCGGCTTCCGACGCCGTCTCGTGCGCCGCCACCAGCGCCTCGTTCGTCTTGTGGGTGAAGTTGTCCGGATTCATGGCTGCTGCTCTTTGCTACTCCTCACAATCTACTACAACAAGCAGGGACGAAATCTCCTCTCTCTTGGTTTCTGATGATGAGATGATATCACCAGGTGCTTGTGGTATGGCTTTTGCTTCGGCTAGTGTTTGTGCTTGACGTGTGTGCCTCGGCGGTGGAGGGCGGTGAGGATAAGAAGGCGGAGTGGAGTGTTCGTCGGGATTCTAGAAGACCGAGGAAGCGATCCGAAAGAAGCGACGAGACAGAGGAAGAAGCGGCGAGACGCTGCGAGAGGGTTCTATGACATGTGGGCCTTCATGATCCTGAACCGTTGGATTGTTGACAGGAGTGTCCCGATGCCTGACGCCTGGCGTGGCTGTTGACAGTAGTCACTGGCATGTGGGGTAGGGGTCTCTGTGAGCCGTCTGTGTGGTGGGCCCACGAGTCATCCATAAACCAGGATTAGAGACTAGGGCATTGTTTAGATTGGGGTTAAAAATCAGTATTTGACACTATAGTACTTTCATTTGTATTTGATAATTATTGTCCAATCATAACCTAACTAGGCTCAAAAAATTTATCTCGTAATTTACAATTAAACTATATAATTAATTATTTCTTTTATCTACATTTAATATTTTATGCATGTGTCTAAAAATTTAATATAATCTAAACCGGGCCTAGAGAAACCATACTCTTGCCACGTGACAACTGATGACGAATTGACAGCTCTGAACTACGCAACGATGACGTGTCTTGGTCACCTAGTCCAGGTGTCAAAGCTGCGGACTGACAGCGCACGGTGTATCGACGGTTCAGACTTGGCGGCGTTCAGTACAAGCGTCAAATCTGAGCCGTTTCTTTCCCATCCCCATTAGATCCGGTCAGCCGGCCAGCCGGGTGCACGCCCAGCTCACCACCGCGGCGGCCTGCCCACAGCAGCGCCCCACCACCCGGGCGCAGCAATTCGTCGAGCAGCTGCCGCGCGAGCTTACTCTCCTGCGGCCACCGGCCCACCAGGGCACCATGGCGTCCGCCGCGCGTGCTCTGGGGGCGCTCCTCCACAGGGCCTCGTCTCTGTCCTCCTCCGCTTCCGCTCTCCGGGGAGCCTCGCTCCTCCGCGGTAACACGCTCGTGCTCGCGCGCTCTCCTCTCCGCCGATCTGGTCCTATTGCACTGTTGGAATGTTTGGTGTGTTGATGGTTTGCTGGTGCTGTCAGGGGATCGACCTATTGGCAGCGCCGGCCTGTTCCGGAGGCATGCGGCGAGGCGGCGGATTTCGTCGTTCCCGCCGCTCTGCATGGGACGACGCTCCTGCAAAATCGCTGGAAGGAAGGTGATGTGCTCTTGCCTTGATCTTCTGCACAGTGTCACAGTAATTCGAAGTTCGGGACCACTGGCTGTGCATATTCTGGTTGGGCCTCTGCTTGGAATAACGGACATGGATGCAGCAACAAATATCAATGTGTTTCGAATTTTCGGTTGTCACTGAGGATATGAGCTAGCTTTTGCTGCTAAGTAGCCTAGTATTAATTTACTCTCCATTAGGATAAATGGATAATTGTGTAGGAAAAAAAAACTAAAAACAGGAAGCAACTTTCATTTCTTGTTTAATGTAGTTAGCTTTAACGTCTCAATATGTATCCTCACATTAGTTGTTTCTTTGATTCAGGATGCCCAGAATTTGAAGAAGATGAAGCGCAACAGCAAAATTGGAAAAGAAATTGTTGCTGCGTAGGTGTTGCTGGACACTGTGATCTTGCATTATCATTCTTACAGATTGTCATTTCATCGATTTCTTAATTTGGATTGTTTTGAGCATAAGGTTAATCCAACATGCTACCATCTGCTAGTATCTGTTGGCATGTCCTCTTTAAAAAGCATAGGATGTTTTACCTTTTTGGTAGTTTAAACTTAAATAATTGGACATCTGTAGCGTAGCATGTTATTGCCTTGTGAAGGTATTGTGGTTGTATTCTGTAATTAGACATTGCCTGCTTAATATCACTGAAGTGAGTGTCACTATATCTTACCAAGTGGTAGGCCTTGTTAAAATGGAACGGCAACAGACAAGACCAAGCATCAGAGTTCAAGTGCCATTCATTTAAATTAATCTGGTTCGTTTATGTATATCACACAGCATCAAGAAGGGTGGCCCGAACCCTTCATCCAACACAACTTTAGCAGCTATACTAGAGAAAGCAAGGGAACTTGATGTCCCTAAAGAAATTTTGGAGCGCAACATCAAAAGGGCATCAGAAAAGGGACAAGATACTTACACAGAAAAGGTTTATGAGGTAAACTTCTCTGCCACTAGTTTGATATTATACATTATTAATAGATTCTCATTTTATGATATACAATAACTCATCTCAAAGGCAAGTATACTATATTTGCATGCACAGAATAAATGGTTTGTTCAGATATGAGTAGGCTTGTATGCTACTCCATCTGTTCCAAGTTATAGTTCACTTAAGTCTCTAATTTTGACCAAGTTTATAGGAAAAATGCATCAACATTTACAGCATCAAATTAGTTTCATTAAATTCTCCGTGAAATATATTCATAGTGCATTTACTTGAACTTGTAGATTTTAATAGTTTTTTTCTAAAATTTGGTCAAAGTTAGAGAAGTTTGACTTGGGACAAAGCTAAAGTGAAATATAATTTGGAACAAGTACAAGTTACTTAGAGTACATATAACTTTTTATGTGGTTTACATAGGTTTTAAGTGCATGGAGAATTTTCACAGGTCTATGGTTTTGGTGGAGTAGGTCTGGTCGTTGAAGTTCTGACTGACAAAATTACAAGATCAGTTGCTGACATTAGAAATGTGGTAAAAGATCATGCAGCAAAATTGGCTGATCCTGGATCTGTTACCTTTAGATTCAGACAAGCTCGAGTGGTGAACATAAAAGTTACTGACGCAGATAAGGACCAACTGCTCACCATTGCGTTAGATGCTGGTGCTGATGACGTCCTTGAACCAAATTTTGATGATGACGACTCTGAAGAAGAAGTAGAAAGGTACATGCTCGTATAATGCTGAATGCTTTTTTGTTTGATGCAACACTGTTTACTAGAAAACCAATGAAGGTGTTAGTCGGCAATCAGGTGCAGATCCTCAGCCTCACACACACTTGAGAGCTTTTTTTTTTTTTGGTCACCTCTCATCTGGATACAGCTGTAGCATCTGTTCGCATACAGACACACACCTACACCACACACACGAACATCACACTCACACCACTAGTACACGAGTAGACCTACAACTATACACAGATATGAAGACGCGTCCTAGAGCAGGCTCTGTAGGCGACGGGAATGTCGCAGTCCCTTTGTGGCACCACGCGTTGAGAGGCTTCACTGAAGGTTATTATGGGAATAAATCCCGGTGAGAACACCAGCGCCGAACCCGGGGTTCGAACGCTGGTGGGCAACGTGCTCACCTGCACCGCATGCCAACCGAGCCAGAGCTCGTTCTCCACACACTTGAGAGCTGGATTAGTTGAGAAGAGAGAAGAGAGAGCACAACACACACACGCACAGGAGTGCTGCTGCTACTGAACTAAGGATGCAGCTGGTCCTTGAACTTGATTATATACAAATTCTACTTGGTCCTTGAACTTGATTATATACAAATTCTACTCTAGTACAATAGGTGTACACCTAGTACTAAGCCCATATCAGTCAGCATGACAAGAACTGTGGCCATACCAACCATACTTCCTACTATTACAAGGCCATACCTGCCCAACATCAGCTTTCGCTGCTTTCCTATCTACTATTAGCCTCATGTCTGATGCGGCGCTGGCGATGTGGAGAGCGTAGGGGAGAATGGAGTACATGAGACTGAGAGCTATAGAACGCAGAGGATAGCGAGGCCAGGGCGCGGTGGGTTCGTCGCCGGCAGCCACTGTTGAAGGGGAAAACGCACCCACCTATTCCTTCTTCGATAATCCTTATTGCACAATCTAAGGTGCCCTTTATAGTTCAGGTGCACATTACTAATAATAGTGAAGCAAATCTCCTAACGTCACTCCTTGAAAAGCCTCTCCCTAGACTGACCCAGCCCTTTAGCCACGGTCTGGTCAATCTCCTAAAATCACTCCCTGAAGAGCTTTCCTAAACCACTCAGCCGCTAGACGACCTGGTGGCCGTGCATGCCCCTGAGCCTGGTGGCCTGCATGCCCTTGAAGACCTCTTCCTAAACCGACTCAGCCCCTAGACACGGTCTGAGCCTGGTGGCCGTGCATGCCGGCCTGTACTGCCGCCCAACAAATGAGTCGACAACATGTCATAGGACTGTTGGACAGTATGAAATGAGTAGTACAGAAGATGGGAAGCATCACAAGAACTGTGGCCATACCAGCCATACTACCTACCATTAACAGGGCCATACCTGGCCAACATCAACTTCCCTATCTACTTAGCCTCATGTCATAGGAGACAGGATGACATGAGCAGCACAAAATATGGGAGTAAAGAGCAAGAGCTGACCGAATTACTAACAGAAGTTTCAAGTTGCAATACACTAGATTACTTGTCCACATATGATACAAGTACCAGTTAACACAAATTAGGTTATGAGCAACTTTCCAAAGGCGCAGGAAAGCTGTGTTCTGAGTCAGAGAACATAATGAAGTCACCAGTTTTGTACTTAGTAATGGTTATTAAGGTCTCTGTATGATAGTACCAAATTCTATGTTATATCTGGTGCTTTCCTTTCTTGTTTACTGCATTTTAATAAAAGCAAACTTCCTTTGGATTCTCCTTGTATCTGAAAGCTGCCCCTTTCTATCCTAAGGTTCTACAAGATAGTTACTACGTCAGAAAACTATCCAGTTGTGCTATCGAAGCTACAAGAAGAAGGATTGAAGTTTGAAACTGATAATGGCTACGAACTTCTTCCTCTGAACCCAATTGAGGTACAGTGGTACACTGTTTTCCCTTTTTATTGTCAAATCTGTTGTTTGCACAAGTTGCAAGTTAGGGTTTAGGGTGCAGCTGTACTTGAACAT